CCGGACATGTCCGGGGAAATACGGACGGATGGTAACCCTATTTAAAAGTATGTTGGAATTTAAATTCCTGGACTTTGGTTTTGGTTCCAGGTCACAAAAGGGGCCTCCAGTGTGGATGTGGACAGTATCTCCTAAGAACACCTGATCTCATGGATTTCCCCTATTTTTAGCTGAAATCTTGTAAAAACCTACTTTTGAGTGTGAAGATTCAAAACAGTTAAACCTGAACCCTAGCCCTGCTTTAACCTTGAGCTTGACCACCAAATCCTGGCTTAAACCTAATCCAGAGCTGGATACTAAAACAGTCTTCTCAGACCATATCTAGTGAAAATTATAGACAAAAAAGTCTGTTCCTGGACTCCTGATTAACATGATGCTGACTGACTTATGATTAGCTAAACTAAACATTTTGGTGAGATATGCAGCCTTCACTACCTACAAATAACAAACCTAGTCTGGACCAGAAAGAGTCTAATTCCAGAAGAATATCTGTACCAAATAGTAAACACATAGTTATTTATTAACAAAACCACACAATGCATTTTATGTCATGTCACTTTCCTGCTATAATTTTGAAAGCCACAATCCTGCACTTAGTATCTTGGCAAGATTCCATGCAATTGTACTGCCAATGACCCAGAAGTGGTTATTCACATCATACCGTTGAAGGATATTTATAAGAAATCAGGTCAGGTATACTGGCTTCTGGCTAGCTTTGCTACCCTGCCTGTCTTCATTAAAGTTCCTCTACATTCCTATGTTAATATTATAGCAATATGTTGCTGGTTTCAAAGTTGCATTTCAATATCATGTTCCAGATGGCAACAAGAATTACACTTGAAAAGGGTAGCATTGGCTTTGATGGAAAGAACAGAATGTTTAGAAAGGTGAACATAGCCAATTTGTGCTTGCAATAAAATAGTTTTTTGGGAAAAAAGATTCCCTGCATCGAGGACACAGGTGCACGCATGCACACACACAAAATTTTCATACAGTGGCAAAGAAAAATGCAATACCAAGGTGCAGTGTTCACTTATATCCCGTACTTTGTAGTTTTCATTTTTTAATGCAGACAGTAAAACAATGGCTTCTCTACATTTCAGCAATCCAGATTCCACAACAATTTAGTGGGATATAATACTGTATATATCAGCTCTTAACCTAAATTAATAAATATTAGACTTAACAAGAGCTGAAAAAAAATATAAATCAACTAATATTGTTCTGTAATTAAAATAAACCTGATTTACTGCGTATTTTAATGCTGAAAGAAAAGAAATAGGCACCATATTTTCTGCACACTATTTCCCATCCTCTCTAAAATGAAATGTTATTAATGATATGAATAAGCTTTTAACATTATTCAAGTCTTTTCTTTAATATAGTCTATAACTCGCCAAGTTAATGTAAAAAAGCACAAAGAAAGAAAGCAGCTAGCCCAAGTATTCATAATTAGGCATCAACATAGGGCAGTAGGATGAGTTAATAGATACACAGGTTCCTTCCTGGATGGGCATTGTCATGCCCTATAGAATGAGCTGAAACTTCAAACTTCCCAACAACCAACCAGTAGCTCATGAAAGGTTTAGCCCTGATCATCCCAAAATATAAGTGGAGAGTGGGAGAAAAGGGGGTAAAATGTATATTATTTTACTGGATGTATAGGAGAGATTTCAGTCAACTACAGACTTGTGGTTTCTCATGATAGATAAATATGTTTCTTCTCACTGGGAATAAGATGGCTGGGAGATTCATGGCTTATGTAGCCAGTTTGCCCATGATTTTTAGGGTTGGCACCCATGGGCCCTCGGTCTCACTGGACTGTCATGAACCATGAGGGATGAAATGTTGGTGGTAGGTGTTATTGTACTACGTTACCCATGCTCCAGCTGTTTACTTTGTCTGACTCAGTTTCCTTTTCCTCCCTAGTCATAGTCCATACTGAAACAAAATATCCATCTTCCAATATTCCATTATAATAAAACAGATCACTTAAAGGTATCATCTTTTAAATGAACAGTCATACGCAATCCACTAGAAAGCAAATTCAAATCACAATTCAAAACTTACGTTGATATCTTCCAAATCTAAGAAGTTCAGTGTGATTCCATTGCGTTTCCAGATAATTGGGGGCTTAAGAGTTCCATGGATGGCACAGGTCAATACAGCGCTCAGTCCAACTGTTACTGTGGTAACGCTAATCTTCTGTTCCTCTGGAAGCGTGAGTTGAACCACCTCTGGAAAAAGGAAGGGAAAAAAGGGAGAAATTATCAATACCGAAACGAAGCCATTATTTGCCCATTGATTCTTTGGGAAGATTTCAGCTTTGACAAAGATATACACAGTAAAAAGGATCAGCCTAAGCAACAAACCAAAATAGGATACATTGCAATGAAATCTTCTATTATAACTAGCTCATGCTCTTTGGATGTCAGACAGCTTCCTTGCTAATTTAAGAAGAGCAGTGATATCAGACATGCTCATTTCCGCCACAAAGAAGCAGAATTAAAATTACATATACTGCATCAACAACATATTTTAACTGCATTTTTGAGTAAACCTATCTGGTTTGAATGTTTAAAGTAAAATATGGAGGCTACCAGTAAGAAAAAAATCAACATTTGCCAAATATTACGTGGCATGTGAGGTACCACTTTTTTCCTCTATTAAGAAATTGCAACATCTTTCCTATATTTTAAATTTAAAATTTTAATTAATTTTGATTTGCACCTACATCTAAAATACATGCCTAGTTCAGGCTCTAGGCCTAATATTTCTTTAAAACCAAAGAATGTCATACTGTTTTCCTGGCCAATGGTTATAAAGATGTGTTCGCATCTTTTGCCATATATGGCTGTATGTATAGGTAAGACATTTGATGTCAGAATTACTGCCAATGCAGATAGCAAGCAGCAGGGCAATCAAGCTGCTCTGTCATCAAAACCGCAACCTTCACAATTTTATCTTTCCTATGTTTTTTTTCTCCTTGGCCCTATTCACAAGGCTCCTACAAGAAAAACTTGAAGCTATGTCGCATTTGAATGCTCAAAACTGGGCTTTCAAGTTAATAACCCATTAAGATGAATATGGAAAGTTCAACATCACTTTTGGTGCTATATTGCTTCAGTCTCTGGCTGCAGAACAAACAAGACAGCAGTGAATTGATTTAGAGAGCCCCTACATCTATGGAATTCAGACATCTTCTATTCCTGTGGATTTCTATTGCTTAATAGTTGCTGTATAATGCTAACTGACAGGCAGCTGCCATGAGAGAAACAGCAAAACAAGATTTTTATTTTAAGCACAAACAGTGACATTATGGAAATAAAAACTCGCGAAGAAACAGCAGGAGTCTCATCACGATTAAATAACGAGAGTTATCAGAACTGGAATTTGATTCAGATAACAGCACTTCCCCCTTAGTGCTGTCACTTCTCTGGAGACAATTTCAGGAGTATGGAAACATTAAGTACTTTTCTTCATTTTGATAGCGATGGGGATGCTTTAAGTGAGACTGTTAAAATGGGTACACCAGACATATGACATGGGCCTGTCACTAGGCAGTTGAGTGGCCATGAAAAACCAGCAACAATATTACAGCCACGCATTACTGTGGTTCCAGACAATCTGGAATTTGTAAGGAAGACAATAGCAGGAAAATACCCGCTTCGCCTAGGGCAGATTAGCTTTTGTCAGAAACTCTGAATCACTGGATCATTTGATTGCATGCCCTCTGCTGTCTGAGGGTCTTTCTCCTTTATTCGTATCCACAGAAATTAACTAGCTGGTGTGAGACAAAGATCAAAGGAACTGATACTGCCTAGGCCACACATTTTAGGAAAAACTTACTTTGACCAATGACCAAGTTGGAATATGAAATGCTGGAGTGGGCCAATTTATTTCCCCCCAACCCTTAATTTTAATTGGCAACATAAACATCTATCCCACTTTCCCTTTCCAATTAGCTAAATGGACCCAAGTGCAGAGGGCCAGCACAAGTCATCGAATAGAATTAAATGAAACGTAAGTGATGCATATGCCCTCTTCTGGACCTCTGAAGAGAGATGAACTTCATCTAATCTGAACACTCATTTGTTCACACAACCATATTGACTGATGGCCTAGAAAAATACAGGGAAGACATGGTTGTGATTTCCCCTACTTGTGAAAATCTTTATAAGGAAAATCTTTTGCACTGCTTGTATTAAAGATGCAATGTTCTCCTTTACCTTGACTTATGCCATATGCAATGTGCTAAATTAAAAGGAAAACAGCATCTATCGTTGCAACCTATGTATGAACATGAAGACTATTTTCCACATCTTTTAATTTCTTTTGACTTTTTCATTTGCATTGGCTCCTTTTGAGTAATTAACTTGGTGACTTTTCTGGTTTAGTGGGTTTTCTCCCTCTGGTTGTATTGGGAAGACTAAAAGGATTTACTTCATATGCTCCCACTGCTTGTCAATCTATCAAATGATTGTGAACATTTGTGTGCAAAGGCCTTTCATGTGGCTGGCATGTGGCATGAAACAATCATCAGCATCAAAGTAGACAGGCAGCTCAGAAAAGATGACTGCTGCATCCTTCTTATCCATATTCCCCCCAACTAAGTCACAAGGTAATTAGTGCCTAATGTGCTGCAAATTGTGTCCACTACTGGAGGTCTTAGGCTGATTCAGGACTGTAAAAAAATCAATATAACATTCCCTGTGCAGTGTGCAAGAGATCAGACCTTCTCCCACTTCATATTCCTAGGGCTACTTTAGAAAGACCACAAATTGTGGGCTAGAAAGAGTAGCTATAAAAATTACACAGTAACTCCTCACTTTAAGTCATCCCGGTTAACATTGTTTCGTTGTTACGTTACTGATCAATTAGGGAACATGCTCATTTAAAGTTGTGCAATGCTCCACTCTTACTTGTTTGGCTGCTTGCTTTCTCCACAGCTAGCAGCCTCCTTTTGGCCCCCTCCTCCCTCTAGCGCCTCCCACTCGCCGGCAGACCCCGGGGATCAGTGCCTTCCCCCTCCTCCTCCTCCTCCCCCTCCTGCCCACGGCAATCATCTGGCTTGCGGCGTTTTGGGGGGAGGAGCGAAGACTCGGCGCACAGGCTCCCCCTCCTTGCCCTGCCTCCCTAATACCACAAACCAGCTGATTGCCCTGGGCAGGAGGCGGGGGGCGGGGGGAAGGATGGGGAAGGCTGCGGGCCGAGTCCTCGCTCCTCTCCCCTCCCTCCTGCCCCCTGAACACTGCAAGCCAGCTGATTTGCAGCATTTAGAAGGGGGGGAGGAAGGGGGAGGAGTGAGGACGCAGCGTGGGAAGTAAAGGGGGAGGAGGTGGGGGGGAGAAGAGGCAGGTCAAGGGTGGGGGCTTGGGAGAAGGAGGGGAGTAGGCGGGCTGAGGGTTGAGCCCGCCCACCCCCGCCCCTGGTGCTTGCAGAGTAGGGGAAGCTGCCGCTGCTGCACAAGGTGCTTCTCCTAGCCTACAGCACCTTCAGCCTCCTTGCCTGCCTCATCTCCAGTGCCAGTGGGCTGTGCCTGTGTGGAGTAAGGCAGGGGCACCTCCCAACTATAGTACTGTACTGTATGTACAGTATGTTTGTAAACACACAGAATGTGCACACTATTCCCTCCCCTCCCCCCCCCGCGTAGTATTCAATTGCTTATTTAAAATGTATATAATGCCTTTTGTCTGGCAAAAAAATTTCCCTGGAACCTAACCCCCCATTTACATTAATTCTTATGGGGAAATTGGATTCGCTTAACATCGTTTCACTTAAAGTCGCATTTTTCAGGAACATAACTACAACGTTAAGTGAGGAGTTACTGTATTAGGCTGAATTATTATTGTTATTTTCATTATGATAGCACCTAGAGACCTCAACCGGGATCAGGGCCTCATTGTGCTAGGTTCTGTACAGATACATAGTAAGCAAACAATAAATAAGTAGAGCAAAGTAGGTAAGAAAAGAGATACAAGTTCCTGCCCCCAAGCAGGAGAGAGAAAGAGTAAGAGGAGAAACAGAGTTACAGACAGGTGGAGTGACTTGCCCAATGTCACACAGTAGGTCAGTGGCAGAGCTAGGAATAGACCTCCTGAGTGAGTCCCATTTCAGATGAGTTCCCTACCCGCTAGATCACATTGCTTCTAAACTCCTTTTGTCCTTGTTCATGCAAAACTCCAACTGATGTCATCATCTTAGGTGCAATACGTAGCCATAGTTACTAATTATGACACCATATTCTATCATCATTTCCTCACTTTCTGACCTGAGAATGCATACTAGTTACATGTTTTAGTATTGTAGCTGTTTTTGCATAAAATACAGAGTTCCTTTTTATGAATACAGTATTCTGAATGTACTTGACAGGATAACAACGGTTAATTAATATAATATGTAGCATGCAGTACGGCTAATCGGGACCATCTTCCTTTAAAGAGAAATGAAATAGAGGATCATTCACTAGAGAATTGGGTTTTATTTCTTATTACATTTTTTCCTTTATCTCATGCGCTGTTTTTCACACTGCATTAAATTCTACAGAACACTCCTAAAACCTATCAACACCCTCTTCAGCAGGATTTTGTTTGAGTGATTTGCTGCAATAAAAATTAGATTTCTTTGCAAATTATAGCCAAACAGGCTTTAGTTTTGCATGTTAGAAGTGCACTAGTGGAAAACAGATCTACTTTCTAGTAAAGGAGAAAACTGAATAATTGCCATACTTTAGTAAAATAATATCCATGAGGTCACTTTGAGATTACAACACATAATAAGTACAGATCAATTGAAAAACAAAAACACAAATCCATTTTTGTTTTCTCCCCGAGTATGTTACGTTCTAAATACTTTTATATTAAAACAGTTATAATTATTTATCACGCCCTTAGTCATTGCTTTACCAAAGATCTTTGTCATTATCCAAGATAAGCTTATACAACCACGTTTATTCAGATGCAGCCCTACGTTAAATGGACATAATCAACTTAAAACCCACACTTCTCTGTTGATGTATCTGTTTTTAGCTATTGCTGTTACAAGCAACAAATGGAGTAGAGAGAAAAATTGCCATTTGTTTGTTTGTTGATTTTGTATATTTGACAATACTTTGAGTATACTCAGCTTTACTGTATCCCCTGCTTAGGCACTGATCCAGCAAAGCACTTAAGCTGACAATTATCTTTAAGAAAGGGAGGAGTCCCAGTGAGTATTCATGTCCACAGGACTATTCATA